CCCCAAAACCCCAAAACCCCAAAACCCCAATTCAAATTTATAAAATTGAACTATATACTTTAAACTAAAAATAACATGGTGAGAATTTCAGCTACTTTAGCTGTTTAGCTTTAAAAATTCCCCATAATTCCTTTGACAACTTTAGTATTGATATCTTTAGAGTCGGGAAAAATCTCGTGAAAAACAATCAACCAGTGTGAAACATTCCGTACTGGACAAGTACGAGCTGGAATCATCACTAAGGAAGTTAGTAAGGGAGAATAAGCTAAGAATAGATCTTTGAGAGCTTACAAGCATTTGAAACATCCCTGTCTTCTCACCAAGAAGCTTTAAATAAAGTTATTGGTCGAGTCAACACAAATGAGAAGTAGATTAACTAGCTGTGAATACATCATTGGTGTGACTAAAGATCAAAGAAATTTCAAGAATAAGGTATCTCTATCTGCTCACTCTAGTTTGAACAACTCCTTGCTGAGATGGAAGCCAGAGACCAGAACAGGATCAAGGAGAATAAGCGCATCGACCAAACTCTTGAGGACTTTAAGGCTCAGATTACAGAGGATCTGAACTTATCCACAAGTATCCAAGATTTCAAATAAATCTGCACAGAACGACATAATTACCTTGAAATCACAGATCTCAGATTTTATGAGTCTGAATAATGAGATCAAGGCTTTTTGCCTTGAGAAAATCTCTGAGAGCAAGAAGGAGATCTTGACTGATCTCTCTCAGCTGAATGATATATAATAGCAGAAGCCACCTGAAAAGATACGAAAAATAATCTAGAAATATCTAATCTGGGAGTTAAGATCAAAGCTCTTGATGAGCGTGCAGACCATTTTGAAAATGACTTCAGTGAGATAAATCTCCTGTGAGACACATTTCAAAGCTCAAAGGTAGACAAGACTTCTATTGAGAAGTTTACAGGAAATGTAGAGGATCAGCTTCTAAAGTACTCTATCGAGTATGAGGAAGCCTTGAATAGTTATAAGCACACCGATAATTTTATTGAAAAATATCTACCTATTAGCACTCAGAATATGATATCTGACTGCTTGAAGCAAGTCTTACAGCCAAGTCAGATCAATAAGCTAGGTAAGGTGGGAACAACTTGGGGATTCTGACTTGTTTTAGATGAATACGATCGGATCAAATATTCTAAATTTTATCAAGCAATACTGGATGATGATGGGGTACCCAATATTAAAGACTTGATCAACAAACTGCTAGAGTCAGCTAGAACAAGGAACAAGTAAGCTACCTCACTACTCTAGAAAACAAGCTGAGCCTGAAGAAAGTGAAGGCGATAAAGAAATTGCAGATGTCGAAGAAGTCATTGATTACAATGAAATTGCCATAAAGTACCTATTCTGCCTTATTACATAGTAACCTGGATGCCAAGGTTACTCAGATGGAAGCAGAACTGCATAAGAAGATCCGTGAGTCAGAGACTCAGATTAACTCTCTCATATCCAAGAAGGATAATACTTCTAGTAATAATTACAGTGAACTACAATTATTGTGCTTCTCTCTTCAAGAAGATCTTGACAAGAGCAAAACAAGTAAATGTTGACTTTCTATGAACTTTAGGCTTAAGAAATGACATCACTAGAGTCCAAGGAGAACTAAATTTACTCAAACAGGGTCTTGATGATATTCTGTAACAATATTAGCAATCAAAGGATCGCGAGAGGGGTTTTGGGGTTTTGGGGTTTTGGGGTTTTGGGG